GCTGAGGAGGCAGGGATCACCGGGCAAGCAGCTGGGTGTGTGTAGGGTAGAAGTTAGAATCTGCCCGGTGGCTCCTGGCCGGCTCAGTCAGTGGACCCTGTGACTCTTGATCTCAGGGTCATGAGTTCGAGCCCCACATTGGAAGTAGAGTTTACTTCGAACAAAAAAAAATGCCTTCAGAATTCACCCTGCAAGTCCAGCCCCCCACCCAGACAAGGGGCTCTCAGGCTTGGCACTGGTGACACTTTGGGCAGGATTGTTCCCTGCTGTGAAGGGCTGCCGTGTGCAACACACAACATCTGGCACCACCCGCGGCCTAGACACCGAGTGCACCGGTCTACGCAGTAGACACCTATAGCACCTGCCCTAGTTGTGACAAGCAAAAAAGATTCCTCCGTGGTGAGGACCACCAGCTGAGAGGGTTAGTTACAGCTGGGAAAATGCTGAGAGGTCAAGGGTCTACACTGCTGGAGAAAGCAGAGTGGCAGCCCCCTCGCGGCCTGTTTATTGACCCCGTATAAACCTTTGGTCCAATCTCGTGTGTTCTGACTCCAAATCTGGCCCACTTTCCATTATGCTGGCTCCCTGAGATCAACTGTTCCACTGCTCTGCTTGTTAGAAAGTTCTTTCCTATTGAGACCACATGTGTTTGCCGGGCTCTTACTTCATCCGGGCTCTTACTTCATCCATGTGTCCTCCGGAGCCGTGCCGAAAGCCTAATCCCTAGTCATGGGCTGACATCTCAGCTGTGTGAAAATAACTCATGTGTCCCCCGTCCTATAGATTGGCACTGACTGTGTGCCAGGTGTTGTGGGAGCACAGGGGACAGCTGTGGACTTGGGGTTCAGACTTCTAGGCTCTTTCTCTGCCTTTGAGCAGGAATTTCCAGGGGCCTAAGTCTACGTGTTTTAAAGCTTCCAGGGAATTCTGTAGGGATGGTCCAGTGTTTTGGAACCTTGGACCTAACCCATTTCAGTTCTGGGCAATAGAATTCTGATTTCTTTTTTTTTCTTTCATGTTTACTTATTTATTTTTGAGAGAGAGAGAGAAAGAAAGGGAGCATGAGTCAGGGAGGGGCAGAGAGAAAGGGAGAGAGAGAGAATCCCAAACAGGCTCCATGCTGTCAGCACAGAGCCTGACACAGGGCTCCATCCCGTGAACTGTGAGATCATGACCTGAGCTGAGATCAAGAGTTGGACACTCAACCAACTGAGCCACTCAGGTGCCCCCTAATTAGTTTCTTTTTTAATTATCTTAAATATTTATTTTATTTTTGAGAGAGAGAGAGAGCATGAGAAGTTCAGAGAGAGAGAAGGAGACAGAATCCGAAGCAGGCTCCAGGCTCGGAGCTGTCAGCACAGAGCCCGATGCGGGGCTCGAATCCACGGACCTTGAGACCGTGACTCGAGCTTAAGTTGAAAGGTTAACCAACTGAGCCACCCAGGCGCCCCTTCCCTACTACCCCCTTGATTTGTTTCTTAAAGCAGCTACATAAACAATGGTTTTTGAAGAAAGTATGAAAAAGAAACTCTTGAAATAACAGGCTATTCCATACAAGAGCAAAGACAAACCTGTTTCTGTCAAGTTTCATTGTCAGTAAAACAGCTTTTATAAAGTTTATGCAAAAAAGCCTAGAAGTTGATACCAAAAAGTGTTAGTCAGGCTTACTTCTCCAAATAGTGGGATTAAAAGAGATTTTAAAATATTTCTTCTTTGACCTTTTCTTCATGTTAAAGCTTATAGAATGACTCTGTGTGTGAGTACATATATATACATACATGTACATATATTCATATGTATTCCAATCAGTTTTTAAAGGTTATTTATATAATTGTAGTGATGGCCACCTTTTTGCTATTTCTTATATAAAGGGGTATTGATTCTAGGGCGCCTGGGTGGCTCAGTCGATTGAACGTCTGACTTTGGCCTAGGTCATGATCTCGCCATTCTCAAGTTCAAGCCCCATGTCAGGTTCTGTGCTGACAGCTCAGAGTCTGGAGCCTATCTCAGATTCTGTGTCTCCCTCTCTCTCTCTCTGCCCTTCCCCCACTCGTGCTCTGTTTCTCTCTCTCCAAAATAAAAATAAAACATTAAAAATTACAAAAAAATAAAACAAAAGGGTGTTGACTCCCAGTGGAAACAAGTTACAGAAGGGCCGGACACAGTCAGAGACCTGGGCCACTCGGGGACTACGGAAGCATTGGAATGACCAATTTGGGCCAGACTCCAGGTCACCTCCCTCATTTCAGGGAGTGGGGAAGCAAACCTAACGGTCATGGGACCACAGCACATCCAGATAAAGATCCCGAGTTAAAAGAAATGTGTATAAAGACAAGGTGACAGTAGGAAAGAGAGCACCGAGCTTACCATAAACATGTCCCTCAAGCTAAACCATCATTCATTCGGCTCGCCAGCTAAACGTAACCCCTCATAAATGCAAGGGCTTGTTTGATTCCCATTTGCCCAAGGGTTTGATTTCCATGCCCTATATTCTATTTTAAGTGTTTCAGGCTTCCCAAATGAGCACACAATTTTCCTCCTTCCTTTGTAACTGCCCCCTTCTTTTTCAGTGAAATAAATTGCTATGGCTTGCTTTTTTCTTGAAGTTTTTCTGATTTCCGATTCACTGGGGCCCCAGCTAAATACCCCACATGCAATGTTTAACTCACGTCCCTTCTAGTTAGATGTTCTGTCTTCTCTCAGTGGATTCCTGTGTTGTGTCCAGCTGCTGGAAGTAAGGTCCGGGACAGTCCACTCCTCAGCCACAGGAGTTTGGCTAATGAGCACAAAGAAAGTTTGCAGGTCTGTACAAACCCCCAGTAACCCACCCCCCACTTTATAAAGTGAAATATGTCTACATTTCAGACTACATCACAGCAACTGGATACTACAGAGGACGGACTCTGTTCCACTAGAGGCATTTTCTGGATCTTTTGAGGTGATTCCATTTCATGTTGCAAGGATTGTGTGTGTGTGTGTGTGTGTGTGTGTGTGTGTGTGTAGGAGAGAGAGAGAAAGAGAGAGACAGACAGAGATGTGTCTGGGTACTGGTGGGTCATGCTACCCTAAATAACTTGGCCTTCCACTGGCTGGCTTTTGTTCATAAAATGCTAATGCTTTCAGGTGCACATCTATATAAAACATTGGGGATTAAAGGGTGCACAGAAATCTCAAATCTCTTCTGCGACATAAGGTAATGCTTAAACTAACAGTTTGAAATTATTCTGAGGGTACTAACAAGAAGTCATTTTAAAAACTTCCCAAATCTTTGCTAAATGCTAACACACGATATATATCACAGGCTACGCCAGTCCAATAACATTAGGTCCATTCCTGTAGTTATTCAACGCACAGTGCATAACTTTCAATGCACAGATGTCTGGGGAAAATTAAATTCTCATGTGAACTATCATGATGGGGGAGGGAGTCATTTCCTTCCATAAGGAAAAGTACACCTGGTATTTGGAAATAATTCTCCATTGCTTGCATGCAAAGTGGGGAAATGTCTTAGATTTAATGCAGAGAGTCTCATGGTGCTGGGTGAGTGTGTTTTGCATGGAGTGTTGGATTTATTGCACTACCACGCTCTGGCTTCAGACAAAACGATTGCTGTTGCAAGTGGGACGCTCTGCGTGTGAATTACCACAATCACCACAGGGGGTAGGCATCCCCATCAGCTACGTTTTCAGCAAGGAATGCACATGGCAGAGCCAGGATTCAGATGCGGGCTCCTCACCACAGCGTGAGGCTTCCTCCCTGAAGACGCTGTGTGTGCTGATAAACCACCAGGCTGCTCCCTGTTAGGGGAACAGTTGACCTCCCAGAGTTGGGAAAGGTTGAAAGGAATAAACAAGTAAGTATCTGCAAGAAAAAGAACTCTGCGGTGAAGCACAGGCCAGGCCGGAAGAGCACTCTGGCTGGTGTGGGGAGTTGGGGGATTGGGGCAAATATCTGATTATTCGATTCTTGAGCCAAGAGGCATGCTAAATCACTTTCACAGGAACCTCATTTGTCTGAAACCTTGTCGCACATTGAGGGACACACAGCCCGTCCGGGTGTGCAGTGGAATCCCATTTGCTTCAGGGGCTGTGCTTTCTTGCACTTTGTCTATTTGCTCACTGGAGTAAGCTGGTGCCTGAACAGCTTTGGGGGCAGCCAGTTAGTAATGGTGTGGCTGGTGTGTCTACTGGCTGTCCCTAGCCCGCTGGGACGATAGGATGGGGCAGCTCGGGTGTGTGGAGAGGAACTCAGGATGGTCAACCCAGATGAGGAAAACCATCCACATTTTGTGCAAAAGACTAGAAAGTGTCACTGTGATGGCTGAGCATTATGGGTAATTTCAGGGCAAAGGAAGCAAGGAAGCCCAAGTGGAGCCTTCCTGCCAGGTAAGCATGTAGATTCTGCTGCCCCGCGTCCTGGGTTTGACTCTCAGATCTGCCCCTGCTCTCGGGCTGCTTCTCGGTCTGTCTGTGCCTGGCTTGCTCGCATCTGAGCAGAGGCATAATAATAGCACCTACTTCATAGAGGTTATTGCCAGGACTAAACGAATCAATGCCCTGCACCAGAACGGGGGCTTGGCAAAATATGCGTCCTGCTCTGGCATCACGTGTTACTATTTTGATGTCCATCAAGGACCCCAGTGGCCAGCTCAGCTTTTCTAAATCTGGTAGTTTTCCTCTCTGGGCGCATCGCTTTCAGCCTCCCTCCGGAGGCTTCTAACCATGGCCCTAGGAAGTAGGCAGATATTATTATCCCGGTTTTGCTGATGAGGAAGTGGCGGGCAGGGGATTAAGGGGGTTGCCAAGTGCCCCAGCGGGCAGCCAGCTCAGGCGCCTGGCTCAGCCCCCACGCTTTCTACGATCTTGCACTAAAGCCTCAGCTGAGGAGGGAGCGGCTCTGGGTTTGGTTCAAATCCTGCCTTCTCATCCATGATGTCACTGACCCTTCAACCCTCATGGTACCCGTGATGGTACGATGCACTGCTAGATCAGATTTTCTTCATGAAGGTTCGGTTTCAAAAGCGAGTAGAGATCCATCTTAGACCCCTGCAATGCCCGCCTGTCCTCCGGCTACGCTTGCTCTGTGTTTGCGTTTCTTGATGCACAGAACAGGTGCGGTGTGGTGTCTGAATGGTCCCCCGCTCCTTCGCTCTGCGAAAGCAGGATGACAGCGCCTTGGGCAGCTGCTCTGCTCACCGGGGGAGCTAAGCTGAGAAGCAGGGGTTCTTTGCGGCTCAGCAGATGCTAAGGCGATAAGCTGCACCTTCTGGGGCCTCTGGGAGGCTCAGCCAGCCTGGGCCGGTTCTCTGCTCTCCAGCGGCTGCCGTCATGGACGTGTGTCTGAGCTCCTAGCAGCAGCCCTTGCACCTGCAGGAGGCGCCGCGGACCCCAAGTGGCCGCTTCGAGCCAGCGCCAGCGGCGGAGGGGGCTCCCCGGGAGGAGGAGGAAGGCACCGGCGGAACTCCTGGAGGTAACCTCCTCCCAGACCGCGCACCTCCTCAGCGCTTTCCCTGTCCTTGGCATTTCCTGGTTAACTTCTGTGACAAGAGTTCCCATTTCCTTTTAACTAGATGGTTCCCATAGTGAAGCTTGGGAGAGAAGCGCCTTTATGGAGCAGAGGCATAGCATTAAAAGCAATCCTTATTTGCCTTATTATGCACTTCTCGAAGTCCACAAGTTGGTTTTAACCTGTGTACAAATCTCAGATGGTTGTATTTTTGTTAATAAGAACTCTTAAAAAGAAACAGAATCCTGATTCACTTCGGCTTTTCGCCAGAACGTTCTCCCCGGCAGCTGTGTCATACATGGGTTGCATTTCTGCACAGAGGGACTCCGTAGTCATAAATGTTAGATACAATGGTGAATGTCAGAAAAGCCAAGATACAGCATTTCCAAACTTTATAATCATTTAACATGGTAAAATTCTGCTCTAGCTCCACAAATCAGGACCGTTTATTTTTGCTAAACTAGTTTATGGACAAAGGCAATTCTATCTCTAATTTCCGATCTCGCTAATGCTCTCAGACCAGCATCGATACAATGGGCGAAAATATTTAGTATGCAATAAACATAAATTATCTTTGTAGGATGCAGAAGGGTCTTATGGGAGAATATTTGTATGCTGGTGTTTGTGTACAATGTTGATTGGGAATACAGGACTTACCAGCTCATTAGCCTGTGAACCGCTGAGCCGCTCCAAATCAGCCCATTGACTTTTCCTGCAGTCAGAGAAGAGTAAGTCCCCAGCGTGTGAGATGCGGGATGAAGGGAAGAAGCTGTCTGAGCCACAGCGGCAGAGGGAAGCCTGGAGAAGCTGGCATGAGTCCTCGCCGGTCTGGTTCCTCCGAGTCACCTACTCCAGTGATGAAACCTCAGAGGGAAAAGGAGTCGCCCTGTACCAACTCCTTGTACCAGCTGGCCTGTCCCAGCTCCTAAATGTCAGGGATTTTTTTGAGGGTTGTTGTTAAACATGGCCATTACTGAAATTTAAGTTATGCAAACTTACCACTCAATAGATTATATAAAAGCCAAAGGAATATTTAAAGGCTAAGGTAATAAACAGAACTCATCCTGACTTAGTTTATTACATTATAAGATGGCCTTTAAGACTACCTATGCACTTGAGGCTATTGATGTCCTTCGTTCTGCATGGTGGAAACACTCCCTCCCCGGCATCCGCTGGAGGCTGGCAATGGCCGCGGTGGGAGCATTGACACCATAGTAATCATCAGACCCTACAAGTGCTTCTGCCCCTCGCCCCACACTGACTGCGAAGCAGGTACTGGCACACCGCGGTCTAGTGCTCTACCTCTTTAGCACCTCTGCAAAGCCCTGTCAGCCTCTGGCTCCCTGGGAGAAGCTAGTGCCGCTTTGGTCATTCACAGATAATGGATTGGTGGTGTTAGATATTAGGAGCTTCCCATAAAAAGAGGTAGGTGAGGGCCGCAGGTCTCCTTCCCCCCTACCTGGGTGTGGGACAGGAAAGGACAACATCTCAGGACTGACTTGGCCGCTATTTATTAGCAGGTTCTTGTTCTGTGAAGCCCCAGGTCTCTGGAAAGCTTACCTTTAAGTCAGGGCACAAAATTCTCCCCCGGGGGCTGGAGCCCACGCTCCATCAGAACAGGGGGGCCAAAAGCAGCGCTCCTAAAGGGCTGTGGACACCGTAGTCTACAAACCAGTCTACAAACCTAGTCTCCAACCTAGTCTCCAACCTAGTTTACAGCCTCATCTACAGCCTCATCTACAACCTAGTCTACAACGTAGTCTACAGCCTCGTCTACAACCTAGTTTTCAACGTAGTCTACAACCTCATCTATAACCTCATCTACAAACCTAGTTTACAACCTAATCTACAGCCTAGTCTACAGCCTAGCCTACAACCTAGTCTACAGCCTCATCTACAACCTAGTCTACAATGTCGTCTTATAGCCTAGTCTACAACCTAGTCTACAAACCAGTCCCCGTGCTCCGCTGGGCTCTAAGACCATTTCTCAGTCTGCTGCATGCTGACACTTCCTTGTAACATACAACGAAAATTAATTTCTAAAAAACCAAAATGAAAACACATGTGAAGACAAAATGCAAGCCTTGTTTCTTTGGGTTTTTGTCTGCTTACAATTGGATTCAACAGGCATGGTCAAATGGTTGTAAACATTTAGAAGAGCTGACTCCACATGTCTGTGGTCTTCTGTGAGCCTGTTCCAGTGATTGGGCCAGCACGCGCTCGTCAGGGTGAGGGAGGGTGCACTCCTCATTAGGTTTCTCCAAAGACCTTCGGCCCTTCACCTTGTATTCGTGCCCTTCCCTCTTCTTCCTCTTTCTCCTTCAGTATAGATTTCTGATGAGAACATCTCAAATGTTAACCCACCCCGCTCCTTCTAGCACTTTCCAAAGGCCCATATTTCTCCTGTAGTGACAAATGTCCCAGGCGGGCCTCAGGGAGCAAAGGCAGGTTTCATGCAGCTCCTTGCTGCTAATTCCTTCTCACTGATGGTACCTTCTCTTCTGCTGTGTGCGCGCTGAGTGTCCTCAGTCCTGACATTTTCTCGCGCTGCTCTTTTTATTCTGAAACACTCTGCAAAATGTGCATGACCAGTCTCGATCTGGTGCTCTTTTCCTCTCATTTTATAGGATATTCAATAGCTGCCTATGAGTTGAAAGGGTATTTAAAGCAATAGTAACTTAATAGCCAGGGCTCATCTGACACCCTCCCCCAGGACTGGGGAGCTGGCTCGTCTTTGGGTGGCCCATACCTTTTGCTGAGGAGTTGTAGGAAGCATTTAAGGAACACACTCCTGCCAACGTGCGGGAATGTTACTTCACTTCGAGACCTAAAAATAGTCAGGTCCGTGTTTGTCTAGGTCCTCATCCAGACAGCTCATTTGTGCCATTCAGCTGGTCAGCTCACTTTCTCCTGCCATCAAAACAGAGGGGCAGAGATGGGGCTGTGCCTCTCTGTCCTCCACTGCATGGAGGAGGGGACCCAGGGCATCCGCTGGCATTTCGAATTATCACGTCCAAACTCCATGTCCCCATCATCCCAGATCATTCAGTTTTGGCTAGCTGGCAGCCACGGTCATGGGCAGCATCAGTCCCTCGCTGTGGAAAAAGTGCCCAATCCATTCCCTTCTTACCAGTTCTACCCGGTGTGCATTTGCGCTGGACACACACATCATGGAACCTATTTTATTTTCTGCCCCGTAGATACTAACAACATGGACCCATCCCTCCACGGCCTCCAGCAGTTCGTTCCCACAGACTACGAGAGCTACACTCAGGAGCACTATCTGTTTGCAGGCGCCAAGATTGTCATCCAGGAATCGATAGAGAGCTATGGCGCGGTGGTGTGGCCGGGGGTGAGGCAGCAATTGCATTCGGGATGGTGGGGTTTGCGGGGGCGACAGTGGCGATTCCATACGCCGGGGTTGCCTTGAACAATGTGCCAAGAGCTCTTATGTCCTGTGCTTCCCCAGTGGGGGTGACTCATTGGCCCCCAGGGGGGGCGAGGGTGCGTTGGGGCTCACAAAGGAACAGCATCTCCTGCAGGAGTGATTATATCCCTCCATTGATTTTCTCGTTAAGATAGGCTTGCACATTTCAGGAAGTAAGATGAAAAATTCATATGAATGTTGAGGGGAAGATGTGCTCGCTTCCCTTTGGCTCCAGGCCGTGGGTTTCCCAGGGGAAGCGTGTAGAAGACGGGCTCCCTGTCCTCCCTGCAGCAGCCCGTGGGGGGGGCATAGAAAAAGGGGAGACACTGCATTTCGAGCCGGGAGCCCAGCTAGTTCCTGCTGTGTGGCCCTGGATGCTCACTTCCCTCCCCGATCTGGGTGGGGCACCCAGCTCGCCGGTGGCACACAGTCGCTGGGGGAGGGTCGTGAGCACTCACTGAAGCGACTGCTAAGGTGACCCTGCTTTCGCCCGACAGCTGGGGAGACGGGGGCTCAGGACGGCCACCCTCTGGGGGAAGCCGCGCCACCGGGCTTGGGGCAGCCGCCCTCCAATGCCAGCCCGGCTGCTCCTGGAGGCTCCGGTCCAAGCTGCTCTGTCGTCGCCAGGGGATGGCACTGGGGTCTGGGTTCAAATGCAGACCCGCTGGCTGAGCTTTGCGGGTGGAGGCGCCCTAGGGCTCCCTGGGAGGGGCGTCCTGGGTCCCGGGAGGCAGGTGAGGGGGTGCCAGGAGGGGGACAAGGGAAGGGGCAAACAAAGGGCTGCTGGAGCCGCTTCCCCCCGGATAAGGCAGCGCGTGTTCACCCCTGCGCATGAGCCTGATGCGCTTCTGGAGGAGCCTCTTTGGCTAATAAGCCGTTTGAAAACCACCGAAGGCGCCCGCAGCTTCGTGGTGCAGTATATGCGGTGAACGGACAGCTGGGCAGGGGTGTCGGGAGATCGGGGCCGGGAGGGCCTCTGCCCACCGGCCTGTTCTGTTCTCGGCGAGGCCTCCGCCGTTCACCGCCGGCCCTCGCCTCTTGGCACCCGGTTTCCTGAAAGCTGCCAAAGCAGGTGTGACGCCCGGTGCGGCTCTCTGCGGAGGAGACCCCTTTCGGGTTCCCAGGGCCGGGAAGGTGGGGGTGTTCACCATGCAGGGTCCATCGAGCTGGGTCTCCGGACAGCACCCCCGGGGGGCTGGGCCGCTCACAGGGCAGGGCGCAGAGGGAAGCCTGCAGCCGCCTCTTGAGAGGACCCCTCACAGCAGGTCCTCGCGATGGCTCGGGGTGACACCCCCTGATGTGGAAACCCCTGCACCCCGAATCGCTATCCGTCGTCTTCAGCCAGAGAGCTCCCTTCCCACGCCCGGAACTCTGCGCAGTGTGCCTGCGATGGTGCTGTTCCACCTGCCGCTCCTCGCTGGACGTCCCCGCAGCCCTCTCCGAGCTCCTTCAGCACCTAGGTCCCCTCTCGCTGGCCCCCTGGGTCCCTGGAGTGAGCCTCCTTTACACCCCCCACCTGTCTTAGAAGCCGTTTACATGCCCCTCCCGCAGCCCCACCCCGTCCTAGAGAGGAGACACGGAGAGTCCCACTCTTCACTGGGGGGCGCGTCTCCCACGGTCCTGGCCACCCCCCTGCAGCCCAGGCCCCAGACAAAAGTGGCATCGTAAGGAGCCCGGAGCAGCCACAGGAAGAAGAGACCTAACGCTACTCGCAAGCCAGAGTTCAATGTGCTCAGGGAACTTCCTCTGTGGAACCTTCCTGATGTCTGGGGTCTGTGGCGTTGCTAGCGGAGACTCCTCCATGTAAACACCTTGCCAGACCGTGCACAGCCCATACCCTTTATGTCTTTGTAGAAGGTCAGGGAGGTGGAGGAAGAGGAGAATAAAGGAAGAAGGAAAGGACGTCTGAGCTTCTGGGTAAACAGTTGCCTGAATTCCTTCATGTGCTTTCTAGCATCTCATTGCTGCGACTCAAGGTGTGGTCCGAGGACGGCAGACAGGCAGTCTGGAGCCGCAGGTCCACCCCCTCCCCCCCACCAGCGTGGGCACCTGGCCAGGCCCCCGGTGACCGAGGGTGGTGACTGCGTCGGGAAGGGAGGTGCTGACTTCCTTGTACAGCAGTTGTCCCTGAAGCGGGCGGCCCGGCTGGACCAGACCGAGCGGGAGGTGCTGTTCTGGAGGCTTCGGTCCTGGACTTGGGAGAGCTGAGCTGATGTGGCCGCTGCCAGTTGGGGACACTGATCCAGCGTCATCAGATAGAGGCCATTGAGCAAGTGTGTCTCCAGCCCCTCTTATGCATGTTGTACCTTTCACATCCCAGAGGTCCAGATATGGCACCGAATGCAGATGCTGATCCTTACGAATCCCTTAATAAACTGGAACTATTAACAACGTCTCTTTTGGTGTCTCGCAGGGGTAGGGAAGGGGGGGTTGCTACGGGTTTCCAACACTCCGACGTTCAGGTGATCACTGCAAATTTTTTTTTTTTTTTTTTTAGGCCACAGCTTTGTGTCAGTATTTGGAAGAACATTCAGAGGAACTGAATCTCCAAGACGCTAAAGTACTCGAAATTGGTGCTGGCCCGGGCCTTGTTTCCATCGTGGCCAGTCTTTTAGGTTTGTCTGTTTATTCCTGACTTGGTTTCAAAAAACCTTTATTTTGGCAGCAATGACAGTGAGTGCTCTCTGTCCGGCCAGCTGGGATTTAGGTGCTGGGCCATGATTTCACTCATCGAGTCCCCCCAAAATGTCACAAGCGAGGGGTGAAAACTGTTAGCCCAGAAAAAAGCTAAGTGCATCCGAGAGAGATTTGGTACCTCACCCAGTCCACCAATGACCAGGTAATGAAGTTCAAATTCTGGAAGTGCGACCTCTCCAGCCCCTGTTGTGAATATGTCTCCTGTTTCTCGTTGGAAATGTTATAACTACCCTTTGAAGAGAAACAAGTGAGTTAATCCAAGGTGAAGACAGATTTATGCCCCACATGCAGGTTGTGAGTTCCCGGGCACCGAGCAGGGGGTGGGCACAAATGTGGCATAATTCTGCCTACACCATTACAGTTCTGCTCTGTTCAAACCAACCTGGAAGCATGGCGATGCATTTTGTGGACTCTCGTCACGAGCTTTAAGACGCCTAACAGTTAATTTAACAAATTTAGGTTGGGGAGAGTCAGACAAAACAGATCATCCTGTGGAAAGAAAACTGGGTGCTGAATACTTCATATAAAAGAAAAAACCGAACTGTTTTTGTTTTTTATTTAACATTAATTTATTTTTGAGAGACAGAGCATGAGCAGGGGAGGGCAGAGAAAGGGAGACACAGAATCTGAAACAGGCTCCAGGCTCTGAGCTGTCAGCACAGAGCCTGACACGGGGCTCTAACCCACAAACCGTGAGATCGTGAACTGAGCTGAAGTCAGACGCTTAACCAACCGAGCCACCCAGGCGCCCCCACAAATCTTCAGATAAGGAGAATTTTAGAAAGAAAAACACTATAAATTCTTATATGAAGCAGCTAATTATCCTGAAATCTTCCAACACTGCACCACTGTTTCTTAAAAAATGCTAACATGATTCTATTTCGGTGGTGATTTTGCCCCACGAAGGGCATTTGGCCACATCTAGAGACATTTTGAATGCCACCCGTTGGGGTTAGAGGCCCGGGCGCTGCCACACATCAGACTCAGCGCCGACTCCCCACAGAAAAGAGTTACCAGCGGGACTGGGTCGCCGATGTCCAGCCCGCATGTCAACGGGGGCAGAGCGGAGAGGCCCCGTTACATGTGTTGTGTTCTCCCTGAGGGCCCGTGTCCCCTGTGGCTGCCTGAATGTTTCCAGGTGATGATCACGATTTTTCTCTTTATTTCTTAGGCGCTCAAGTCACAGCAACGGATCTGCCCGACGTCCTAGGAAACCTTCAATACAATCTCCTGAAGAACACGTTAAAACGTTCGGCGCATCTGCCCGAAGTGAGAGAACTGGTCTGGGGGGAAAGCCTGGAGCAGCACTTCCCCAGGTCAACGTTTTATTATGACTACATCCTGGCCTCGGACGTCGTCTACCACCACTACTTCTTGGACAAGCTGCTGGCCACCATGGCTCACCTCTGTCAGCCAGGCACGGTGCTGCTGTGGGCGAACAAATTCAGGTTCAGCACCGATTACGACTTTTTAGAGAAATTCAAGCAAGTTTTCGATACAACACTCGTGGCTGAATTTCCGGAGTCATCGGTCAAAGTTTTCCAAGGGATTCTAAAATGGGATTAAGTGAAGCAAAATGCCTTTCGAAACAGTAGTGTGTCTTTTGAGCGGTGTTAGACGTTGTCCTGTCAATAAAAGACCTTTTATAAGATTGAGAAGCGAGTGCAGAAAAATGACCTGTACGCCTAGAATAACATTGCGGCGGCTTTCTAAAAGAACCTATTTAAGATGATCTGATTAATCTAAATATCCACAAAGAATAATGTGAAAACGTAAAAGTAGCTTTGTTGGCGCCCAAAAGATCTCAATTGTTTAATAAACTTTATATGAATAAATTGGTGAATGGAATCATTCCATTTATTCCATGAATAAAATGGAAGAGCCGACTTCCCCCTTGTTATTTTAACTGCGAATCTGTTAATGCACTTCTGTCACGTGCCCTTTGAAACTGAGCCTGAAAGGGTCCTTCTACCTTCATTCTGAAGAATCTACTTATACAGATTTTAGTGGCAGCAAAGGGAGAGGATTTTGAGGGACATGAAGAGTTAGAGGCTTCACACTGGTTGAAAGTGAAAAATACTAGAATATGGGAAGGCATATTATCTTAGGAACTTCAGAAGATAATTTACTCTACAAATACCCTGCTTCTGTGCCAATTAATTGCCTGCAACCATTTCAAGTTACATTTCTGGATTGTCTGGGTTCCCCTCCCCACCCCCAGCTTTGATTTATGGTTAAAATTCCTAGAAAAGTAGGAAAGAATGGGAGTTTTGTTTGTTCTGATAATGGAAGGCTACAAAAAATCTAAAACAAACATCATGACTATAAAATGTTAAAGTTTCTTCTCTGAGGTGGGGGAAAAATGAAAAATCCAGCTACCACCGTTTCTCAGCATTATACTAGAGGTTTTAGCCAATGAAATAAAGGAGAGGAGGGGCGCCTGGGTGGCTTAGTCGGTTAAGCGTCTGACTTTCGCTTAGGTCATGATCTCGTGGTTCGTGGGTTCGAGCCCCGCGTCGGGCTCTGTGCTGACTGCCAGCTCAGAGCCTGGAGCCTGTTTTGGAGTCTGTGTCTCCCTCTCTCTGACCCTCCTCTGCTCACGTTGTCTCTTTCTCTCTCCTAGAAATAAATACAAATATTAAAAAAAAAAAGAAATAAAGGAGAGGAATAAAACAGGCACATTTAGGATGGAAGAAAGAAAAGGGACCCTATTCGTGGGTGACGTATGATTGTTGATGTAAGCCAGGGTCTGCAGACATTTCTCTGGAAAGGCAGGTTAATAAGTATCTTCAGGCTACATACCACGTCTACAGAATATACACATATGTTTTACAACCATTTGTAAAAACTCAAGACTCACTCCTAGCTTGTGGACCCTGTGAAAAACAGGCTATAGATTCAGCTTGTGTAGGCCATGGTTTGCTGGCCCCGGAACTACAGATGATAATCTACAGTGGAATGATTGGAATTTATACGAGTTTAGTAGGGGCGCCTGGGTGGCTCAGTCGGTTAAGCGTCCGACTTCCGCTCAGGTCATGATCTCGTGGTTTGTGGGTTCGAGCCCCGTGTCCGGCTGTGCGCTGACAGCTCAGAGCCTGGAGCCTGCTTCCCATTCTGTGTCTCCCTCTCTCTGCCCCTCCCGACTCATGCTCTGTCTCTCAAAAATAAACATTAAAAAAAAAAAAAAAAGAGTTTAGCAAGGTTGCCAAATGTTAACATATAACATTTGGGACCTGACCCCGTGTCTCTTCTTAGACTTAAAAGTGGAATTCTTTCAGATTTCTAGAACAAAGGAATATGATGATCATATGCTTATTTTATTATTTTCTAAATGGATACAAGTCTGCTCTTTTAGAAGAGCCAGATTGATGTAACATAAAATTTTATACCCCAAAATATGTTTGATGTAATATAACATTTTATACTAAATAATGTAGTATTGCATATTCATATGTTGAAAAAGCCAGTGTTCCAATTTCCGGTTGTCTCTTAAATGTCATGACATTTACTTTCAGCGTTTGTCGGAAGCAGGGAACGGCCAAGGTCCACAAATTTGACTCACTGACTGGCAGGTACCTGACGTCTCTTTCAACCTATAGGTTGAATCTCTTGCTTTTTCCTCCTGCCATTTATCTGCTGGAGCGTCTCTACCCGCTGCATTATGCTGACGGCACCCCGGGGTGTCCCTTTCCTACGTCCCTCTATCTGGTTCTTCATGCAAATTGTACGTTTTAATGACTCCGGTTTGCAGCCATCCAGGCCAATGGTGGCTTGGATCGCACTCCAGCCAAGTCTTACTCATGAGTGAATAGAGAGGATTGTTGTTGGATGCTACTGAGTTTTGAGGTAGCTCAGTACATAGAATCATTGAAATATAGGCGAGGGGCTTTAAAAGCCATTCATAAAAGGAGAATTGGGGAAGAGAGCTTCAGTTGCTTTATATTCTATTCACATTTTGGATAGGGCTTGGCACAGTCAAGATTCTAGAATCACTTCGCGTCTAGGACTGGGAATGCAGGCGGTCCTAACTGCGTGGTGGAAACTGACATCTGTCCCGGCCTCTGGAACTGGGAGGGTTCACGTGTGGCCCCCGAGCGGACGTGGCTTCCATCAACGATACACCTGCTTGTTAATCTCTGGGAGCCTCTCGGAAAAGCAGGGGCTCTAACTGAAACTAAAGTGGTACCTTTGGGGGAGCGCGCGGCAGGCTCGTGCCACATGGCGCAGGGGGCCGTGTCTGCCTCTCACCCGCCCGCGGTCCGTGGGCTCCGGGGAGGCCGCTCCTGCCCGCGACACCCCCGGCCCTGCCCCTTGGGGCCGCACACCCACCGCCCTCTTCTTTCCCGGCGCCCTCGTGCATTTGTTACCAATGCGGTTTTCTCCTCCGGTTAATTATGTTCAGACTAACAAAGGCCAGAACTGATTCTTTTTTTTTTTTTTTTTTTCCTATTCTGTATGAAATTCTCTGTTCAAGAGGATTTTTGAAGATTGGGGGAATGAAAAGGACCCCTCCTTTCCATCTCTCTGTGCCTGCTTCTCCGACTCGGATCCTCAGTGCCTGAGCCAGGGTGAGGGAGCAGAGACCCAGGCTGGGAGTCCAGCCTTTGTGTTTTGACACCTCACCGCCGGAGGGGAGAGGGGGAGAGGGACCCGGCCACACACGCTCCAGGGCAAAGAGACGTTATCCGAGGAAGTGGCTGCTGCAGGAGGGGTGAGAAATCCCATGATGGCAAAGCTCCTGCCAGTGACAACTGGGAACGGTCCCTTAGCACTGGGGAGGGGCCACAGACCCAGCACCGAGCATGTGCTCTGTAGTTTTGAGAGAAAGAAAGCGAGCGGGGGAGGTGCGGTGAGAGGGGGACAGAGGGTCCAAAGCGGGCTCTGTGCTGGCAGCAGAGAACCCAATGCGGGGCTCGAACTCACAGACTGTGAGATCACGACCTGAGCCCAAGTCGGATGCTCAGCTGAGCTCCCCAGGTGCCCCCTTCTGTTTCTTTAAAAAGTACCTCTTTCAATTGCTTTCAGTGGGTGTGGAGCAAAAACTGGCCACCATTACCAGAAATAGGAAACAGGAAGACTGTACCTGCCTCCCCTCCTTTTTTTAAGTTTATTTACTTCGAGGGAGAGAGAGAGAGAGAGAGAGACAGATTGGGGGAGGAGCAGAGAGGGAGAGCGAGAATCCCAAGCAGGCTCTGACTTGACTGACAGAACCACCCAGGCGCTCCCTCTCCCTGGCGTTTTTTTTTTTTTTTCAAGTTTGCTTATTTCGAGAGAGAGCAGGGGAAGGGCCGAGAGAGGGAGAGAGAGAGAATCCCATGCGGGCTCCTCACTGTCAGCACAGAGCCTGACATGGGGCCTGAACCCATAAACCATGAGGTCATGACCTGAGCTGAAACGAAGATTCGGATGCTCAACCGACTGAGCCCCCCAGGCGCCCCCTCTCCCGGGCTGTTTAAGGTACTGTTTTACCTCCTGTATTAACCGAATCACAAAGAAACAAGAATGACTTTACCGAGGCTGACAAGACAGCTTTGCAGGACTCCCCCCCCCCGCCCCCCGCCTCCGGTCACGGTCACGGCCGCTCACCCAGGTTCCAGCGACAGGGCTGGTCTAGGAATCACACAGTTCAGAGCAGCCTGTGCCAGTCTGTGGACGGCTCTCTAAACTCCTCAGCAAACTAACCAGTCATCATCATCGTAACATTTTACCGCCCGTGGAAGACTAGCTCCAAGAGAAGAAATAAGTAGGAATTAGATATAGAAGTTTTTGTTACAACTGAGAACTAATAAAAGGCTTATTGAGTCTTTAAAAAAACAAACCAACCAACCCTGGGGCGCCTGGGTGGCTCAGTCTGTTAAGCATCTGACTTTGGCTCAGGTCATGATGTCACAGTTTGTGAGTTTGAGTCCCACATCGGGCTCTGTGCTGACAGCTCAGAGCCTGGAGCCTGTTTCGGATTCTGTGTCTCCCTCTCTCTCTGACCCTCCCCCGCTTATGCTCTGTTTCTCCCTGTCTCAATAATAAATTTAAAAAAATTTAAAAATTAAAAATAATAAAGGGAGGCTGGGAACTCACAGCATCACACACACACACACACACACACACACACACACAGGCTGCCACTAACCGGCCTGTTGGGAGTCCCCGGCCACCTCCTGTGCCTGGAGCTCCACACTGTTTTTGAAGGTTAGGGTATCCAAAACCCACCATGGCTGAATTCTTCTTCCACATTAAAAATGTAGCAAAAAGACCCAAACCTGAGGGATAACGTGAGAAATCCCAGAGCTCTAAAACGATGGCGTTTTTATGTAAAAGTAAGTCGTATTTGAAGGATCCTAGAATTGAACCTTCACATAACTCAGCAGGCAGTACTTAAACATACCACCAGGGGCGCCTGGGTGGCTCAGGCAGTTAGGCAGCTAAGCATCCAACTTCTCAGGCTCAGGGCCCAGGTCACGATCTCAGGTTGGTGGGTTTGAGCCCCGCGTCAGGCTCTGTGCTGCCAGCTCCGAGCCTGGAGCCTGCTTCTGTGTCTCCTCTTCTCTCAAAAAGAAATAAACATTAATAGAAGCTAAAAAAAATCAAAATGTACCGCCAGAAAGCTTCTAGCCTTAAATTTATATTACAATTGGATTTAAAAAAATGTGAGGTCCATGAAAATGGGGGACCATTTGGTCAGTAAAAAAACACTTGCGAAGATTTTCTCCTTTACTAATGAGAAAACTGGCAAAACTTCCTTGAGGGGCAACTTTTTCCAGAACTGTGGGATTAACCAAATGCAGGTCCGGA